GGCTTGCATGGGGTTGATATTCTGCCTGGAAGCACCCACTGACCTGCATGGGGTTGACCTGTGGCCTGAAAGTCCCCTTAAGCTTGCATGGGATTGACCTGGTGACCGAAGGTCCCCATATGCATGCATGGGGTTGACATTGTGCGTGGTACTGTCATAACCCAATGATTTTTAGTGCCTCAGCACATTGGAATTTTCCTGCCACGTGGAGCTTTCTTTGCACAGTGGATTTCTCAGCTGCAGAGAGAAATCCCCGGTGCAAAGAGTTCCCGCCACAGGTATGCAAATTAGTGTCCCACTATTGGTCAATTCTAAATTATTCCTATGTGGCGGCTAGCAATTGGCTCCCCAAGCTTTTATGGCCGTATAAAAGGTTAGAGCGGTTTCCGCCCAAGTTGGAGGACTCCACAACCATCTCGTGGGGAACTCTGAGCGCGCTGTGGAGCCTAGCAAACTCCACGTGTGTCTTGGAGGAGGACATAGAGGCCTGATCAGCTTCTAGCCACTCCCCGTCATAGTGGAAAATTTGACGTATCCCCCGTGTGAAGCGTTTGTGGAGTCGTACATCGACGACTCATCTCGGTTTGGTTCGGAAGAGATCTCACTTGTGTTTGTTTGTGTGCAACTGCAACTCAAGCAAGTTTCCTTCCTGTGCTGTGACCATCAGCAGTGTAAGTAAAGCTTTCTTTGTAAAACCAATACGCTTCCGTGCCTAACTCTACTCTGTTGTGGAAAAACCCCCCCCTGACGGTCCGGGCTACTGGCCATAGCCTTAGACCACCCTCGGTCACCACAGGTACCACCCATTGAACTGAAAGAGGTTGACTTGGGGCCTGAAAGTCTCCTTAGGCATGCATGGGGTTGACATTGTGCTTGGAAGCCCCCATAGGATTGCATGGGGTTGACCTGGTGCCCGAAAGTCAGAATAGGTTTGCATGGGGTTGACATTGTTCCTGGTAGCACCCATTGACCTGCAGGGGGTTGACCTGGGGCCTGAAAGTTCCCATAGGAATGCATTGGGTTGACCTGGTGTCTGGAATTCCTGCCGCCTGGATTTAACTCCTAATCCAATACGGAGGGTGCAAAGCACCCGCACAACCACGAGGACCTTAAGCCTCCAAAAAGTCTTAAGCCTCAGAAAAGTGCCCCCCCCCCAGCTTTAGCCTCCATATATCACCATTCCCCCAGCACACTTCACCGGTTCCCCTTGTCCCCAGGCACCTCGGGCAGCACCGCTGGGCTGGTGAGACCCCACCTGGAGCCCGCCGCAGGCTCTAGGGGGCAGCAGCAGGCAGAGGCGTGCAGGTGGACTCAGAGGCAGCCCCATCAATTCCACGTGGCGGTGCTCCGAAGGCTTGCCAGGTGGCTGGTGCTCCGCGGCCCAATCCCGTTGCCTGGGCCCAGGCAAGGGCAGGGCCAGCTCCATCCCGATCTTGCACAAAAGGGCAGGTGGCCTACAAGATTCCCAAGCAGTCTCCCATCCAGGTATGAACCAGGCCCACGTCTACTTGTTTCCGAGATCACATGCAATCAGTCCTATCTGGCCACAGGCAGGAGGGAACAGTAAGGCGGCAGCTGGACTCCAAGCCCGCTCCATCCACTCCACTCGCTGCAGCTAGCAGTTAGCCCCAGAGCCTGGGGAGAGGCACCTGCCAGGCTGTGCTGCCCCCAGGCACCTCGGGCAGCCCCGCCGGGCCGGGAAGACCCCACCCGGAGGCCTGCCGCAGCAGCAGCAAGCAGCAGCTTGCAGGCGGACTTGGAGGCGGACCCATCAACTCTATGCTCCCCATGCATGCGTGCCAGAGTCACCTTGGTGCAGCCTCCGCCGGAAAGAACCCAGTGCCAGCACTGGCCCCAGCTGGGAGTGACATCCTGTCATCCTGTGTGCAGACCCAGGGGCCCGCACCCCCTGGGAGGAGTCTGGCACAGCCCCACAGCCCTCCTGGGGGGCATGGGCCCCCGGATCTGCTTGCGGGATGAGAGCATACTGCCGTTGCCAGCAAGCAAAATGAGGTTTGCTTTGAAGTTTGAGGTGCAGTTTCACAGAAACCCCTGCGCCTATCTCCTTGAATTTTGGCAGGCTTCATGCCCTCAGAAGGGACTACCATCCCCGCAACTTTCATCTGAATCAGTACGATATGACAAAGTTATAGGTATGTTATTGATTCCCCATTATAGCCTATGGCCGAATCACGGAAACAGCATCAAAACTCTGAAACAGATTTGGCCCAATCAAAATGCAAGTGTGATCCAAAACACTGAAATGAATCTGAATCGAAACATAGCTGTTTTGCACAGCCCTAGTTGCCATGGCTTTTCTACAGGACTTTTGACTTCTGAGGAGAGGCTGAGGGAACTGGGCTTATTGAGGTTGGAGAACAGATGACTGAGCGGGGATTTAATAGCAGCCTTCCTGAAGGGTGGTTCCAAAGAGGGTGAAGCTATTGTTCTCAGTGATGGCAGATGACAGAATACGGAGCAATGGTCTCAAGTTGCAGCAAGGGAAGTTTAGGTTAAATATTAAGAAAAACTCTCACACAAGGAGGGTAGGAAAGGACTAGAACAGGTTACCCAGAGAGGTTGTGGAATCTCCATCTTTATAGGTTTTTAAATCCTGGGTAGACAAAGCCTTGGCTTAGATGAACTAGTTGGGGATGGTCCTGCTTTGAGCAGGGGGCTTGACTAGATGACCTCCTGAGGTGCCTTCCAACCCTAATTTTATGATTCTAAATTGTGGGGCTGTGTCTTTACAGTAGTATGCTTTCTCAACAAGCATATGGTTTCCACCATGTGTAAAACTAGGGCAAGCTGTTGATTTTTATTTCCAATTCATAGATGTTAGGGTCGGAAGGGACCTCAATAGATCGAGTCCAACCCCCTGGATAGGCAGGAAAGAGCACCCCAGCAAGATGCCTATGTAACCTCCTCTTGAAGACCCCCAGGGTAGGGGAGAGCACCACCTCCCTTGGGAGCCCATTCCAGACTTTGGCCACTCTAACTGTGAAAAAGTTCTTCCTAATGTCCAGTCTAAATCTGCTCTTTGCTAGCTTATGGCCATTATTTCTTGTAAACCCCAGGGGCGCCTTGGTGAATAAAACCTCACCAATTCCCTTCTGTGCCCCCATTATGAACTTATAGGCAGCCACAAAGTTGCCTCTCAACCTTCTCTTGTGGAGGCTGAAGAGGTCCAGTTGCTCTAGTCTCTCCACACAGGGCTTGGCCTGCAAGCCCTTAACCATATGAGTGGCCCTTCTCTGGACCCTCTCCAGGTTATCCATATCCCTCTTGAAGTGCGGCGCCCAAAATTGCACACAGTACTCCAACTGCGGTCTGACCAGCGCCCGAAAGAGGGGAAGTATTACCTCCTTGGTTCTGTTCGTCATGCATCTGCTGATGCACAATAAAGTGCCATTAGCTTTTCTGATGACTTCATCACACTGACGACACATGTTCCGCTTTCCGCTTCTGTGCCTCCAAGTAGGTCATTTCCTAGGCAGTAGGCATGCTGGACATTTTTCCTCCCTAGGTGCAGCACTTCGCATTTCTTCTTGTTGAATTGCACTGATCTAAGTCCATTACTGGTGTGGTTGTTACACTAGGCTCTAGGCACTAAACAAACTCAGTCCAGAAGCAGGCTGCAGCAGTGTTTACTATAAGTAACTGAGCTAGATGCTGTTCCTTAAAAAAAAAACACAGAACACATCTACTGCAACAGCACCACAGAGTGAGCTGCTTATGTCTCACAGCTGGCACAGCACTTCTGGCAGAGATGTAAGTGCATCTAGCAGGCAGGCAGCTGGATACACCGACTTACTATAGTTTAGTGAAGTCACTTAGTGATTCCATAGCCGATGAGAAACAGTAGCCTATAACCAAAAGGCTACTGTGGTACAAGCAGTACATGCAGTTGGGAAGGCAAAAATAACTCCAAATGAGGCTGTGGGCCCAAAAGCTTATGTGCCTAACTCATCTGGGTTAATCATCTCAGTACTTTTGAGGATCTGGATTAGCCCTTGAATACACTCAGGGACCTGAGAAGAGGTTCCTGGAGACAGAAAACCCTCCTAAGGTCAAGAATGGTTGACAGGCCCTTCCTTACCTCTACTCCACCCAGGCTTTAGCATTAATTCAGATACTACTTGGACCTCTTTCCTAGACTATTAGTGTCCTCTGCATACACAAAGAATGCATGTCCCTGTATTCTTTGCACCAGTGCAAACAGACAGGAGTGGAAGAGGAAAGCTCTCCTCTCTGGTACTTAAGACTGTGAGTTCTTTGGGAAAGGGCTGTTTGTCTTGTGCAGTGCAGTGTTCTAAGGGGAAAAAAATGACTTAAGTTCTCAACAGCTTTCAAACCTCCCCTTCTCCCAGGTACCAGCTCTGCCAGTGGAAAGCGTCCCAATTTTTCCAAGGTGTGAAGCTCTTTACAGAAATTTTTGCATGGAACTTATCCATTTGGCAGCCAGTGCTAACTACTGTATTATGTTTGTGTATATTCGCATACACACACACACTTTGAAATTTAGAGCTTCAGAACAAGCCTGGCTCTTTGACAATAGATTACAGGCTTGCACTGCAAACTTGGGTGCTATAACTGCTTTCATTTCTTCCCCCACACTTTCCTCTGCTTTTGGCTGTCATGTCTTTGGGGTTGTAGGAAGCCACAATTTGTAGCACAGTGGATGCATCTATATTTGGATTAATGTGCCTTTGCTACTGTGCATTAAATTTTGTACTGCTAATATGAAGTACTATATAAATGCACAGTAGCAAAGGCGCATAGTTTTTTTGTGATGCTTGATATTTGGTAGACCAATTCTACTTTGTATTAGCATAGCTTTTGCTGTGACATGCTAATATACAATAGAAATTAGTCTACTGCACATTAAGTGTCTTGTGTAGATGCACCTAGTGAGTTGAAAACTCATTCTGCTGCTCTATTGCCATAACGTGGGTTGAAAATCACATACAGGAGCTATTCAGACTGGGTGTTAGAGATGCAATAGACTCCCTGATTTGTAGCCAGGCTAGCATGGTTGAATGAGTAAGGGAGAATACTGGACAGCAGGACACTAGCTTTCCACTCATTACCACCTATGCATAAGGTCACTTGGACACCAGCAGGATGACAGCTTGTGCAGTAGGGTCTAGTTTGCTCTTCCTCTTCTGGCTCATCCCTGCATTACAGATGCATCCATTAAGAAGCCAATCCAGGCAACTACTCAAATCCAGTTCGACACCATCAAGCCATTCATTTTCAGAGGCTGGTCATGCACAGAACTGTCACTCATAGTAGACGAAAGAGAAATCCCAGAATCCAGGATTGTTTGGATGCTTTTTCAGATGCTCCAAGCTACGGTGATTAATATACTTCACAAATTTCAAAGTCTCTTTGTCCCTGTAAACTAAGGCCAAGCAGTTGTTCTCTGGATTCACCGTCAGCAGCTAGAACAAACAAGACAGGTTGGGGAGAGGTATATTTTCAAAGTGATGACTTAGAAATATTATTCAGAGAACCAGCAACAAGGTAAGTTTCAAGAGACACTTGGAGAAGATCACAAAAGCTTGTAAGTTCATTACTGACCCCATGCAGGACTCATCAGAGAAGAGCTCTGGCCTAAGTCAGAACATGTGGGACGCAGCCCATCTATAATAAAAAAACCCCCAGCTGATACATATTAATATCCAAAAGACTAACTAATCTAAAAGAGTCCTAGCATCTATGGAAGTCCATGGAACCAGACCTAAGTTGTGTCAGGAGCCATATAATCCCACAAGAGCTTACTCTTTAAAGCAAGCACTACCCAAATGATGAACAATTTTTTCAGACATCAACTTTTGAAGCTCAGTCCTGAGCTGTGATCAGCAATTTAGCCTGGAGGATTAAAGACTTGAGGGGGAGAGGGAAGGGCGCTTAATAGCAGCCCTCAACTAGCTGAAGGGTGGTTCTAAAGAAGACAGAGCTAGACTGTTCTCAGTGGTGGCGGATGACAGGACAAGAAGCAAGCTGCAGAAAGGGAAGTTTAGGTTAGATATTAAGAAAAACTCTAACAAGGAGGGTAGGAAAGCACTGGAACAGGTTATGCAGAGAGGCTGTGGAATCTCTACCCTTAGAGGTTTTTAAATCCTGGGTAGACAAAGCCTTGGCTTGGATGATATTATTGGGGATACTCCTGCTTTGAGCAGGGCGTTGGACTAAATGACCTCCCGAGATCCTTTCCAATCCTAATTTTCTATGATATTAATCATTGTACACACAAGGCGGAAAGCAGTCTGTTGCTCCACAGTGGGGCTTAGTCCTGCAGTACACTGTGAATGGGAAAAGCAAGAAGAACCTTCAGGCAGTTATAAAACAACTAGCCAATTGCCCGTCAAGAATGACAGCAGGGGAGGGGGCTGGGATGGAGTGTTGCCACCTAATGCCCCATGCTGCTGCTGTTCTGCCTCTTGCAGGGAGCAGGGTGGGGGAGCCGAGGCCAGCAGCACTGTATGGTCCTTGGTGCATCTTCGGAATCACAGCGGCGTTCCCCCATGCTTGGACCATTCTGATGGCTGTTTCCAGGGGCGTGTGGAGGTGGAAAGCTCACAAGCAGTGGCCACAACCACCACTGCTGGGGACTGAGGGAGCAAGGATGTGTTGGGAGGGAAGACATGGAGTGTCTGCCAGCTGATGGCACTCCGGGTGGGGCTTTCCCCAACACCTGCCCTTCTCTCAGCTTGAGCAGGCGGGCAGACAGGCGGAGATGGGGGGAACAGAGTATGCCCTGGAGTGCAGCAGCGGAGGCACCGCTGGGCCCCTGTGCTGCCACCCCCCCCCCCCCACCCCATTCTGTGCCTGCTTCCAGGAGCAGGTCTGGGGGGGGGCAAGGGCAGCAGTGCCCCTCTGCAAGTTGCACATGCCCTCCCTGGCCGGGGGCGGGGTTGGAGGGGGATGCATATGGTGGTTGCTAGCACACCACTGCACCTTGCGCTGCATTCCTGTGGCTGGAAAGATGCACAAGGCATGGTGTGGTAGCAGCTGCCTCTCCCCTGGCCAGGTGGGCATGTACACCACACAGAGGGGCACTGCTGCCCTTGGCCCCCGGCCCTGCTCTGGGCAAATGGTGTGAGGCACGGCGGCAGCAGTGCAGTGGCCCCCTCCATTCACACGTGGCAGCTGCCAACACCAGTGCACCGCCACAGCTGTGCCCTGAGCTGCTTGCCCAGAGCAGGGGTGAGAGCAGCGGTGCCCCTATGGGCCTCACATGCCTGCCTGGCCAGGGGGAGGGGGGTTCACATGCAGCAGCCGTCACCACAATGCCATGCCCCATGTCCTATGCGATTTTCCTGCCACTGGTCGCAGGCCAGCAGTGCGGCGGTGGTGGCAGCTGTGGTATGTGAGCTCCACCTTCCCCCTTGGCTGGGTGGCGCATGTGTGGCCTCCACCAGGGGCACTGCTGCCCTTGCCCCCCCACCCCACTCCTGGGAGTGGGCACAGAGTGAGCTGAGGTGGGGGAGTTAAAGATCCCTCAGGTAGGAGCCAGTACCACTTCCCTTCCCAGCCCTTCTGCAAACAGCTCTTGCAAGCTGGAACTCAGCCAGTCTGCAGAGCTCTTTTCGTAAGAGGGAAATCTGCGGGTTTCCCCGATAACGCAGATTTCCCTTTTTTCTCCAATTCAGCCGGGAAGTCTGTGGTTTTCTCCATTTTTCTGTGGGAAACAGAAAGCCTGGATCCCTGCTGATTAGCAAATCCATGAAGAAATTAACCCGCTAACTCCTTACCTCTTCATCTTCACCCTTAGCAATATAGGAGGTAAAGCCACCATATTCTGCATCCCAATCTGAGAGAGAGAGAGAGAGAGAGAGAGAATGAATGAATGAATATCAACTGGAGGGCTAAACAATCCTGGCTCCTCCCAAGGGCTAAAGTGTCTGCACCTTGAATTCCCAAAGTTTGCCGCTATTAGTTTTGTCATAACCAAATGAGTTGAGTGCCCCTGTCACAATAGAACTGCCCTGAACCACAGTTACTTTCAAATTTGGTACGTTCTGCCTCATTAGCTATTCCCACCTGGCAGTCTGTTATTGGCTACCCTAAACGTATAAAAATCCGTGCAGCTTCCGCCCAAGTCGGAGAGCTCTGAGCACATGGTAGAGTATGGAGAACTTTGCCACGTGGCAGAGAAAAGCTGGCAGACTGGCCATCTTCCAACATCTCCCCGTCACTGTCTGTTCCCGACGTATCCTTCATCCTGCATGCTTGTTACTGTCTACAAACTCGCCGGTTCGTTTGGTTGCCAGTTACCTGTAACTACGCAAGCAACTCGTTACCTGTAACTACGTAAGCAACCTTACCACCTGCGTCGTGGCCACCAGCGGCGTAAGTAAAGTTAAAGTAAAAGTTACTTTGCAACCAATACGCTGTGTTCTGCCTCTCTATCCACCAGCCCTGCCTGACGGCCGAGTAATCAGCAATCCTCAAGTTGGCTCCGGCCGTCTGAGACAAGTTTGTCCCTAGTTTGCCTAGTGCCAAATATTTTCATTCAGAGATGTAAGTTTGAACCCCATTGCCCACTAGTACCAAGGGGCATCCCCAGACTCCCTGTATGCCTAGTGGGTTACTGTCACCCCGTTCCATACCTACATCTCTACAATGGAGTCTAAGGGTTTAGTTGAAAGTACAGGGAATAACCAGAACAGGTTAGGTTGCTTTTGCAGTGGGCTCACCATTGGCTCTGGCTCCAGCTTCCTTTAGGGCTGTTAGCAGCTGTCCAAGATTACAAAATATTTGATTACTTAGGCCTAAGTTTTGGGGGGTGCCTAGCTTGAACCCAGGTTCACAAAGCAGAAGGGGCCCAACATACCTCAAATCACTTGATGCCTTTGAAAAAAAATGGGGAGGGGGTTATGTATTATGGCTTTGTCAGGGATAGTGACCTGAACTAATCAAGAAGGAAGCAGCTCCTCTGTACTCCTGCCTCTGGATTCATGCCCCCCATCACTGCTGCTCTGAGTGAAGAGTCCCAGAAAAGTTCCCTGAAACATTTTCCACCCTCTACCCTCCCTGCCATTACATAGTCAGCTGGAGGAACTGCAAGTGGCAGCCTCTCTCTCAGAGCACTACCTCATGGTCTATGGAACAAAAGCACCTGTTTTGGAAGTGAACCCTGCATTAGTACTCGGCAGTACAGACCACTACTGGGGCCTGATTTGGCTCTGCCACTCAAATCCTTCTGCAAATGACTATCAGCAGAAGCATTGGGTCATGTTACATAGGACTAGGGAGCAGCAGGGAGGAGCCTTCCCTTCAGAGAAGAGCTGGAGTGATTTGGCAGTTTTAAAAATAACAGACAAGGCCAGATGATTGTAAACCCCTTTTTTTCCCCTCTTGGCTGAGGCTAGTGAGAAACTCTGGGTCTCTCCTACCTACCTTCGCAGCCACAGAAAAACATCAGGTCCAGGGCAAACTCTGTTGCTTGAGTGTCATGGACTAGAGTGTAGCAACCATTCATCCACTGCCTCAGCTCCCCCACACACATAGGGACACTTGTGCCTAGAGGAGGGAAGCAAGTATATGAACAGCCAGGCTGGAGCAAGAGGCTGCACAATGGGACATTGATGGGAACGTTGCCATTGTCCCTGTTAGGGCAAGAATATCACATTTGGTCTTCAACTTGGAACCTGCTGCTTTTACTTACTATTCCGTGGTTCACCCTCGGCAGTTTTGAGGAAGTTTTCCGGCTGGCCTCTTTGATCAGCATTGCCACTGGTCTCTCTTTCCTTAGCCCTGGAGGAGTCCTGACCAGCACAGTCTGCAGCCCTCTCCTCTTCTCCCTCCTCATCTGAGGAAGCCAGGAAGTGCAGCTTTAGACCCGTGAAATTAGAGAGCAACAGGAACAAGGCCTCTGAGCGGAAGAACTCCAAGCAATTCTTCAGGATGTCCGGAAGGCTCCCCTCCTCAGCCATCTCATAGCATCTGAAAAATAGTGGAGTTACAAGAGGCAGGTAAGGCTTCACTGTTCACACTTCTGGGGAGAGATGTGCTACTGCAACCTCAAGGCAGAATGCAGGTGGCCTAGTTAACTAACAGCTTGGTGCAGCCCTACCTTTTATTGGGGGGTCCCCGTCTGGTCCATTTGATGTCTTCTTTCTCTAGAGCCTCACACACCAACTGAAATTTCTCTTTCTACGGGAGAGGCACATGGAAGAACTCAAACACCTTTGCTTCCCACAATTTCCTAGCATGCTAACACTAACTACTCAGTGCTCCTGCTCTAGGCACTACAATGTTGGTTCTTTGAACCATTACTCCCCACATCCAGGGGCAGGAGAAATGATTATGGTTGTTCAGTGCCCTTCACACTTTGTATTGAAAAGTTCTAAGTAGGTGTGAAAGGCAAATTCTCCACCCACTTGTATAGGTAACAGGTTACCTGTGTTATATAGGTCCTACAGCTCCTATGGTAAAGCAAATGACACCGCACAGTCACTCCTGGTTACATGTCTCATGAGTGGCATGGAAAGGTTTTTGCTGCTAGTATGAAGAGGAGGAGGTTGGAACAACGCTTGTGGTTCTCACTGTGCATCCCTGTGCACAACGTGAACCACAGGCTACATAACAGTGCCAGGCATCTGTGCGGGCAAGTGTTTAGCCTACATTTCCTCTATTCCTGCCTGAACAAAACAGCTGGTGCGCTAGTCCTCAGACACACAGATGGGCACCATACCAGTCACCATGCGATCCCTGCCAGTTGTGCAACTTTCAGGACAAGCCCACATAGAAAACATCGTTCTTTGTATTCAGCCTGTTTCCTGGACCCACTTTAAAGAAATCCTTTAGGAAAGTCTCTGATCGATCCTCAAATTCCTCCTGGATCTGAGCTTGGGAAACCATGTCCAAATAAACAGGATTGACCCAGTTGTACAAGATTTCATGCTGAAACAGAACCAGAGTCTTAGCGTGAACGCTGGATATGAAGTTACAGAAATGATGGAATCTTTCCCCTTCCCTCCTCACTTAACAACCAAAAGGCTTCAGCTCACCCCCATCTGTCCATGACATTTGCAACAGTCCATACACCAGAACCACTAAAAATGAAAGCTCCTGAATTCTCCCCCAACTAACTACTACTACTACTACTAAGACCTTGCTCCTCAGCACTTTTGAACCATGATCTCAAAGCCAATGGATGTACAGGGAAAAGGAGAAAGATGTTAAGCAGCTGTACACACCATGCTGAGGAAAACAGGAGAGTCCCAAGAGACAGGGGAACTACCTCCTTGATTGTATCCCTTCTGCAGTATCCTGCAAACATGGGAGGTGGCTGGATGAATAAATACTTTCTGCTTACATCATAGGGGATGTGTGGACTTCGTGGCAAGGGGGCTTCAGTGTAGCCAGGAGGCCTTGCCACTGATGGACCATGAAACCAGCCACTCACAGACAAGCGGCACTTCTCTTTGGACAGGACTTCCGATACCTACAAAGAAAAAGTAAAGAACATGTTACCATTTATGTTACGGTGCACTTGGGGGGGAAAGAGGATGGGGCAGCCAAAGGAAGCATCCTGTTGCACTGGGCACTGCACAGACCCAGAGTAAGAGGTGAATCCTGCCCCAAAGAGCAGACAGAAAAGACAGACAAAGCATAATCCTTCGCACTTTGCTGATGGCAACTGATGGACAGAAGTTGCACGATTTCCTCATGCCTGCATCTGAGCCATGTGCCACACCCAGCTCTCTTGAATCCCAGTTCAAATCCTAAGCATCCACCCAGCCAGGCCAAGGCTGCTGCCCACAAGCAAGAGAGGACACATCCTTTGCCACTTACTGGAATCCTATCTCCCAGAATCTGCAAAATACGTTTACCAGGGTTATTCATGCAACACAGAGGCATACACGCAGGTGCTATGGGAAGAAGTTGCAGACCACAGGCTATAGCCACATAGCAGCAAACCTCAGCTGTTTTGGTTTCTAACTTTTAGGTGCCATTGAACCACTGCTTGTCAAGACACAGCTGTTTTAGGCTCTCAACCAAGGGGCAAAACTTTATCATTATGCTTAGCCTCAAGCACTCTTCTTCAAATTAAATTTCTCATTCAGCAGTGGGGCTTGTGGATTTCTGCATTATGTTTATGACTGAGTAGCGTTAGATTTGACACGCAACAGCCAGACTGATGTGGACAGGAGCAAAACTGGTTAAAGGATTAAGTCCATGTTCCAGTATATTAACAAGGAAGGCTGGCTTGTGATAAGGGTTGACAGCTGGTAGCGTGTTATTCACTCCTGTGACACCTAAAAATGCTTTGAATTATTATTAAAACTCTTAACTAGAGAGCAGAAAAATGTCCCCCATATCTAAGTATGCTACAAGCAGCCTAGCAGTCTTCTTGCTAGGCATCCAGAGCTGGGACCATGTTGTACTAGGAGGTCTTGGATAAAAGCTCTCTTCCAAACCAGGAAAGTTGGACTGAGATCCAGAGACATGTTAGGAAGGAAGGACAGGATGCTCCTTGCTGGATGTTTGAGAAGAAGGATTTTTGCTGGCTTGTCTGTACATGGCCAGCCAGCCTGCTATCATTTATTGGCAACAAAATGACAACTAGATTTAGGGATCACAGATACTCAAGGAAATATGAATTCAACATCTGGAAGCCTGTGATTAAGATAACTTTTGGTAAAGTCAGTTGAGCCTTAAATGCCTGTGCTAACAGCAGAGACTGGATATGGGAAAGGATGATACTAATACTTAGGATTAAGTTTAAGTTAGCTGGAGGCGATTGCAGGGCTAAGGGCATGGACAGATGAATGATTATACTACTTTACAGACCGGGGTTGGGGGGAGGATGTATTGATTGTGAATGCATGTCAACTAATCCACTGCACCTCCTTCATCTGTCTGTTTATATCCCACAGTATGTGAAACACTTCCATTTGCTAAGGGATACAACGGACATACAAAACAACCAGAGTGGATTCAGTTGATTGTGCTGTAAGAATCTCCCATTTAAAAGCAGTGCAATTATTTAATCTGTCAATGCCCGCAGTTATGAATGCACAGGGCTTTATATGTCTCTATAGGTCAGTAAATTGCCAGCTGACAACAGCTCAGGGAATGGCCAGCAGGGATTTCTGTTATTTATGTCACCCTTACTTTATGATGTTATATTTTGCTAAAACCCCAACCCATCCAGCTGAGCATCTGGCTAGCCTTTGAGCTCATTCCCATTGGTGCCCCCCCTACCGTTCTTCCATTCGTTGCTACACTTATATTATTAGCACACTCAGAGAAATCAGAATCTATGATAAACAAAGCCAGGGCCAGCATGTCACTTGGGGAATCTATACAGAATGGATGAAGCTGGAGTCAACATGCTACTCAGAAAATTCTTACAGTCTGCCTGTCTTCATGTTGTTCTGTAGCCTGATCCTCATTAGGAACCCACAAATATCTAACATGGCTAGATTAGACAGGACACTGACTTAGCACCCAGTTACAAGTCAGATCATAAGTTCACGTGGCTAAACAATGGATCCCAGTTGTGATGGTTACCTTACAACCCTGAGGTACTAGTAGAATGAGTGTTTATAATGATCATGCTTGAAGGGTAGCTCCTCACCTGGTGAAAAGAGACTGGAGACACTTCAAAGAAGACCAGGGAGTTCCATGAGGGGACTAATGACTTGACAACCTGCAGGGGTTGAACGTGCTCTGAAATGGAAGAAACTCCGTGTGCATGTTATGGTTCTACTAGGAACTCCCACAAAAGCCCAAGCTGTTTGGATCCAGAACCTTTGGGATTGGTTGCTCCTGCTGGCTACACAGGATGAGGCTCCACAGAAAGAACACAGTGCAACTCCCTCCCACCAGTGCAAGCACGTCCCCTTGCACAATTTCACTCCCAACCACAGATAACACAAGGCAGAAATGCAGCTCTTGGCATCACCCCTAGGCTGCCACCCTTCATAGCAGTTGCTCAGACACAAAGGATCCTCATCCTCATTTATAGAGTCAATCGCAGTGCTCTTCCTTAAATTCTCAGCTGTCACCCAGGAGTACAGCCTCAAGCAACTGCTGCAGCCCTTCTTCTGAGCAGCCCACACCTCATCCTGTCCTCATTGACAAAGCTGTGCATCCTCACCCTGCCCTGTCACTTCACAGGCATTTAGGGATTGCTGTATAAGGACAGACAAGCTACCAAGCTTCTCAAGCTCTTCCCTGAAACAAACACCTTCCATCACCTGGCATCAAGGTCCTACCATCTGTACTGTACAGGTCCAGAGTGCCTCCATCACACTTTTCCCATGGTGGAACAAGGTACAGAATGAAGGCGATTCTCCGCCCCTCCAGCTCATCATCATGACACAGCAGGACATCTGCAATCACAAATGTTTGCATCTCTGGGATGCTCTGGATGTTTCAATGGCTGTTTCCCTAACTAAGACCTGTTGCTGGGAGGGATACAGGAAGGAAATCCAATCCCTTCTCCAGAGCTGCATCTTCACCTGGTCCCAAATCAAGCCAATTCCCAGACCCTGAAGGAGGAATTTCCTCTGGATTCTATTGCAGTGTCACTGCATGGACCAGTCCTCCCAAGTACGTCTAATATTTTTCCCACATTCTTCCTCTTGTGGTTACTCAGAGAAGAAATCTCTCAGCTCCACACGCTCCAATCTTCAGTTGTATAAAATGCCCTGAGCACATTCACGTATGCTGAGGGCTACTACAATGACAGCACTGGTGACTGCAGGACTATCTGCACAGCCAGGACAGCACGGGCAAGAACTTTTTTACCTAAGATGTTCTTGTTAAGTCACCAAATGTGACTTAACCCTACCCTTCAGGAACCACCACCAAGAGGAGGTTAGCGGTCACAACCCAGTCAGCCTGGGGTGGCAAAGTCATCCAGCTCATAAGATGAGATATGATTGTCAGACACTGGAATCTTAACTGTTGCTTCCAGACCCTGAATTCCCTGCCCTACTGCAGAAACAGACAGGATCCAGGGAGCCCCTGATCTGTCTGTGTTTCTCCAAGGACCTGGAAGGCTCCTGAGTATACTGGGCCCCAGTTTAAACTACTACCAGCAGAAATATCCAGCCCAACAGATCTTCCCCATTTTCTTATTGCTTTGAGTCTTTGCTTTGCTGGGTGACAGCTCTGTAGTGTGCTAGGAGGCCTTTGTTACTGGGGTTCTCTGTTGCAATATAATGCTCTTTACCCCAAAGAAACTTCAAGAAGACCTGCTGCTAGCTCACCTGTATATTCATACTTGGCACAGGACAGGTCGATAGTTGGTTCCAGCTCAATCTGAGTGACAGCAGAAAGCCACGGTCGGAACTCGTCAAGCAGAACTTTCCTAAGGGGACAAGCACAGGGATGCTGGGACAGGTGTCACCTCAGCTACAGCCAAGGGTACAGAGCCCAGCCCTGGACCTACTATGTTATACCTGTGGGGTGAAGACAGAGAGAGCGAGCGTTTTGCATACATGAGCAACCCTACACTGGGGGTTCCCAGGCCCAGGCCGCAGCCTAGATCTAGGCTGCAAAGGGTTGGCTGCCAGTGTGCAGGAGGTCTGGCTGCTGGATTGGAAGTGACTGCAGACTGGAAGTGACCGACATGCTGTAGACTGGCAGCCAACCTGTTTTTATACGGACTATAAAAAACGGTTGGCTAACTGCCCACAGTATGCTGGTCACTGCTGGTCCGCAGTTTGCCGGTCCATGATCACTTCCGGTCTACAGCTTGCCAGTCCTCAGCCTAAAAAGGTTGGGAACCTCTGCCCTGTACCACCCGCATCAGAAGAGAGAGCGGCCTCGCTCACGAGAGCAATTTAGCAACAAAGCAGCGAGGAGGGAACCAGAGGAAGATTCCAAATGTCCAGCATGAAACATCAACAGCTTTTTCAGAGTGAGAAAAAAGGGGTTTTCCTCCAAACAGAGCAGAAATGAGTCCAATTTCTGGAGAGGACTGTTTTATTGCTTACTTAAGCACTGTGCCTTTTTCTCCCTTTCTGAAATGTTTCTTGGGAGAGTATCCAAAGCGGGGAGGAGAAGTTCTTGTTTAATGACAACAGCTTTGGACAAACGAAAAACCAAGGCACAAGACCAACATCCTCGATAGGTTTGTGAATGCAGAGGGTGGACAACTAGAAGTGGTTCATTCTGAAACAGTGGAGAAAGCCGGAAGGAGGCCCTCCCACCTGCCTCATTGTCTCAGCTGGGCCAAAGCTCGCAGCTGTGTTAGATTTCATAGACATCAGGGCTGGAAGGGACCTCGGAAGATCATCGAGTCCAGCCCCCTGCCCAAAGGGCAGGAAGTCAGCTGGGATCATAGGATCCCAGCAAGATAAGCATCCAGTTTCATCTTGAAGGTGTTCAATGAAGGCGCTTGAACCACCTCCGGTGGCAGGCTGTTCCAGACCTTGGGGGCTCGGACAGTAAAGAAGTTCTTCCTTATGTCCAGCCTGAAACGATCTTGAAGGAGTTTGTGACCATTCGACCTCGTCATCCCTTGGGGCGCTCTGGTGAACAAACGTTCCCCCAGATACTGGTGGTCACCCCTGATAAACTTGTAGGTGGCCATCAGATCACCCCTGAGCCTGCGCTTTTTCAGGCTAAAGAGCCCCAGGGCTCTCAGCCTGTCATCGTAGGGTCTGCTTCCCTGACCTCTGATCATGCGCGTGGCTCTTCTCTGGACTCTCTCAAGCTTCTCCACATCCTTTTTGAATTGTGGAGCCCAAACCTGGACACAGTACTCCAGCTGCGGCCTCACTAAGGCTGAGTACAGGGGGAGAATGACGTCCCGGGATTTGCTTGAGAAGCATCTATGGATTAAAATGAAATAAAATAACTGTATAGCTTCTCTTTAACAAAGAACTATTTCAAAATTGAGTGGCGTAACTATACCCCAATTGCTCTTGAAAAAAATACATCCAGTTCTGAAGACTTCAAAGCAAGTCACAAGACAATCTGTATGTACTTTCAGGCATTATTCAATCCAGGAATTTTAAATGATTTTTTTTTAAACAGAATATGCCATTCAGAAAATGTCATCACTACATTCTTCGAGGTCCTACTTGATATTTTTAATTTAAATTATTAATAGATTAATAGTAAATATAGGGTGCAAGTATTTAAAAATTTTAACAAATGTCATCAAGAAGAAAATTCACTAAAATTTAATTAAAAAAAAGTCAATTAAAAAAGGCCAAAGTATTTATTCTACCACTTTGCTTTTAGTCAATAGCAACAGAATCGCAAGTCTACTCACTGGAAGTTTTATACTGTAATGATTAAAAACTGATGGGAGTGGCAAATTATGACAGATCAGTGTTAAAAAGGAATTTGGATCTCATGGCTCAGAACCTGCACCATGTTTTCTTTCCTATATAAAGCCAGAAGGGACTTCCCTTGCATTTGTAGCATACATTGGCAATTATGCTGTCCTTTTTGACTGAAAGGACAGTACAGAGCTAAAAAAAAGAAATGAGGACTTCCTAGAAAAGCCAATCAGGAAGAGAGGAACTAGCCACTTAAAAACCAGAGAAAGGAGGGAAGGCAGTTCATAAATATCAATGACAAAAGGATGAGGCAACAAACGCCTAAAGGCAAGCAAGACTGTAACCCCTGAAAGGAAGAGGAGCAGCAGAAGTTTGCAACTATTATCATATCCTCAGTGTAGAAACAGAAGTGACCTCTGAAGATCTTGCTGGTTACACAGAACGCAACACTATCTAAAACAGTTTTGAATGGCTACTCAGCCCAAACCACAAGAAAAATCAAGCAGGCCCACAAGAGATCTTCAGCTATCCAAAACTGACTGGGTATTGACTGTGAAGGAGAGTCAGGGTAACATTTTGGGGACTAGCAAACTACAGGACAAATATGCTATCTTCTTGGAGCTTGGACACAAGATACAACTTTAAAATTGAATAGGCTTCTGAGGTCAACCAACAAAAATCTAACTGGGATGGTTCACACTGTTGCTCAGAATATAGCACAGGCTGTTTCAGAGAACTGGAAAGTGTGCTGAAGGAATCCCTGGAGAGCCAGGGGGGCTGCTGTGCCCTCTTGCTGCCTTTCCTCCGAGATGGAATAGACTTATGTTGTGCATTGAGGATCGCTCCCTTGAGGAGCAACCACTCCTCTTGAACTCCCCTCTCCCTGTGGTCACAGTCCCTTAGGACCTCACTGACAAGCCTCCTGTGTTACCTGAGCGCGGAGATGTGCGGCTCCTTCTTCTCCTTCAGGTCGTCGGACTGGAGCGGGTGGAGAAATGGGAGGCGGCGTTGGGCGCAGCTCCGAGGCAGCGGAACGTCCCCGCCCCGCGGGGGCCCCTGTCCCGCTTCCCCAGGACACGGTTCCCCCGCCCGCCGAACAAGCGGCGAGCCGCTGCCCC